CTTAGGGTTTAGGGTTTAGGGTTTGGCTTGCCGAGGTCCGGGTAGTTTTCGTGGGACCTGTCCGGATAGAGGTCCCCGTGGACCAGCCAGAGTTCAGCCAAAAGGGCCGGAGGGTTTGAAATGAAATTGGGTTTATGTTTTAAAGCATTTTTGAAAGAAAGAGAAGAGCCCTCTTGGGCGGTGAGGTGTATCTGCAGCTCCTGGAGGCAGGAGCGCAGGGTGTCTGTACACTCCAAACCCCCGCTGCGCAGCCGGTGCAGCAGCAGCTGCTTCTCTTCCTGGAAGTTTTCGAGGGTTTGCTGCGCCCTGCGGCACTCGAGTTTTGCTGCTTCTGCTTCGCGCAGGCCCCGCAGCAGCCGCTGCTTGCTGCTGCTGCGCTGCAGCAGCAGGTGCACGCAAACCCCCACGAAGCAAACCCCCGCCACCAGCGCCACTCCCCAGCCCACAAACAGCAGCAGCGAACGCGCGTCCATCTCCAAACCCTAAACCCTAAACCCTAAACCCTAAACCCTACGCTGCGGCACGCCCCACGCCAGCCCCGCACTCGCCCCAACGAGAAACCCGAAACCCTAAACCCTTGTTGCAGCAGCGGCGGACCAACCGCCCAGCCCAACCCGCATCCTCCCCAAACCCCAAACCCCAAACCCCAAACCCTAAACCCTAGACACACACACAAACCCCACCTCCGCCAGACGCCCGCGAGGGTTTAGGGTTTCCTGATGAGGCTTCACACCCGGAGAACGCCCCAGTCAAGATCGCACGCGCAGCAGCAGATGGGCCGCAAACCCTAAACCCTAAACCCTAGGTCCTAAACCCTAAACGGATGGATCTTTTAAAATCAAAGCAATTTCTTAAATTTAATTGCTGCATGCGTCGAGACACACGCAGCAGCAGCAGCAGTAGCAGCAGCCAGGCCTGGAAGAGGTCACTTCGTGGTCAAGCCCCTCAAACCCTAAACCCTAAACCTTAAACTCTAAACTCTAGCCCACAACTTTTCACACTAATTGCGCATGCCTATTTCGGTGACAAAAAACAATTTATAGCCGCAAACCCTGAACCCTAAACCCTAAACCCCAATTGGGAGGCGCAGCCGACAGCATCTGTTGCTGCACCAGAGCGCCTGCGCGGTATCTGCTAAACCCTAAACCCTAAACCCTATATCCTAGAGCTTAATAATCGAAATTGTAAAAATAAACTCACTGAAGACTTCTACAAACTAAGAAGACAACTTGATCTCGCTGAAAAGCCGAACCCCCTTAAACCCCAAGCCCTAAACCCTAAACCCTAAACCCCAAACCCTAGCTACGTTATTCAAAACACCCTTCAAGCCGCCTATACCCTAAGCCCTAGCCAATCCATTTTTTATCAGTTCAAAACAACTCTAAACCCTAAACCTCAACTCAGCGCGTTGTGCTGCTGCAAGCCCCGTCGCCGGCGTCTAAACCCTAAACCCTAGTGCTAAACCCTAAACCCTAGCGCTAAACCCTGAGCCTCGAGCCCCAGAGGCCTAAATCTAGACCCTAGATTAAAACCCTAGATCCTAAACACCTAGATCTAGACCCTAAACCCCGAACCCCCACTTCTAAACCCTAGGTCCTAAACCCTAAACCCTACTTCTAGACTCTAAACCCTAAACCCTAAGAGGCAAGATGCAGGCCTCGAAGAGCCTTTAATACCTAATTCTAAACCCTAAACCCTTAAACACCCAGTTCTAGACCCTAAGCCCTGGAGCCCCTAAGCCCTAAACCCTAAACATCAAATAAATAAAGAGGTATGTATGGGGCTGCAATTACACCGCTGCTGCCGTTACTACTGCTGCAGCAGCAGAAGCAGCAGCAGCTGTTGCCGCTGCAGCAGCTGTTGCCGCTGCAGCAGCAGCAACAAAGGTACGTAGCGGGGGCCACGCCGATGCGTGGCAGTGCTGCTTCCGCCAGCAGCAGCAGCAAGTGCTGCTGCAGCACATGATGCAGCCGCTGTTGCTGCTGTTGCTGTTGCTACTCTCGCTGCTGCCGCTCCTGCTCTTCACCCTGCTGCTGCTGCTGCTGCTGCTGCTACTTAGCCGCTGCCTAGCGATTGGCCCAGCCACTCCAGACCGACTGCAGCTCTCCTCCGTTAAGAGTGCCGCCAGTGGGGCCCCCCGGGGGCCCCCCTTGCTGCTGCTGCTGCTGCTGCTGCTGCTGCGGGTGGGCAGCAACGGGCTGTGCAGCAACGGCAGCAGCAGCAGACCCTTGATGGTCTCCCACTGCAGCATGCTGGTCGACTTTAGGCTGCTGCTGAGTGAGGTGCTGCTGCTGCTGCGGCGTGAGATGCTGCTGCTGCTGCTGCGTTAGGTGCTGCTGCTGCTGCTGAGTGAGATGCTGCTGTTGCTGTTGCGTAAGTTGCTGCTGTTGCTGCTGCGCGAGATGCTGTTGCTGCGTAAGTTGCTGCTGCTGCTGCTGCTGTTGGTTGAGGTGCTGCTGCTGCTGCGACAAGTGCTGCTGGTGCTCAAGGTATAGCTGCTGCATCTGCTGCTGCTGCAGCTCCTGATTCAATTCTGCTTCCTTATAACCTTGCTGCAGTGACATTCTCAGTTCCGCCTCGGGGAGGAAGCAAGAAGCCGGAAGCGCGCCCACATACGAACTGCAGCAGCAGCAGCAGCAGCAAAAAAAAGAGGCAGCAGCAGCAGCAACAGCCGCAT